CAAGAGAGCTTTATTTAACTAAAAGAAAACAGTGCCATGCATGGTTTAGAAAATCTCTAACAAGTATACCGAAAATGTACTATGGCTTAATGCTGCTCTGAAGAAACCAAGAAGGAAACAACTACAGACCTGCTTAGTGCTGGGGTTCAAGTACATTTTATTAGTCCAGCTGACTAAGCACTTGCAACAATTTAAAAAAAGCAGTACAGTGTGGTTGTTGGGAAATAAATTTACATCAACCTATTTGTTTTCTCTTTACACAAGAAATACTTAAAAAAAAAAGTATCTGAGTACTGTAATACTAGCACACAAAAGGCTACAAGGCAAGGCACAATGATGTCTGAGGCCAGCCTGGGCTACAAAATAAATTCTAGGATAGTCTAAACTATATAACAAGACCTTCCTCAAATACCCAAAATAAACAGAAAGATCCATCCTCCCTTTTAAACAAAACACCAGACTAAATGAAACATTCTGTTCTTATCACTAGAGAAAACTTCCAATACTTTTTTGAAAAAAATATTTGAAAGTTCAGGGTGCCAAGACTTTTTTGTTTTGTTTTGTTGAGACAGGGTTTCTCTGTGTAGCTTTGGCTGTCCCAGACTCACTTTGTAGACAAGGTTGGCCTCAAACTCAGTGATCCCCCTGCTTCTGCCTCCAAAAGAGTGCTGGAATTACAGGTGCGCATCACCACACCCAGCTAGGATGGTGAGGATTTTAACGAAGAGTAAACTCAGTTTACTCAGCTTGCTTGCCCCTGCACACATCTTAATCTTTTAAAGCTTTTATAAAGTGGAGCTAAAAATAAGGCAGCTGAAGTGTCAACTTCCTCTCACAGACTATGCAATTATGTGTTTGAGACCAGGTTTAACTATGTAGCCCTGGCTGAAATTACTTTGTAAACCAGGCTGGCCATGAATTCAGAGATCCAACTGCCTCTGCTCCAAGGGCGAGGGCTGGGATTAACAGCATGCACTACTACCAAGCTTGGTGGCATTACAATATAAAAGATAATATATAACCTAGAAGTAGAATCCACTTACTAAAAGGTTAATAGAGTTAAGTATATCCCTATATAAATGCTTCTTTTAAAGGGTTCAGGCTGGAGAGACAGCTGGCCTAGTGGTTAAGAGCATACTGCTTGGAACCCAGGATCGGTTCCGAGATCCACATGGCTCACAACCGACTGTAACTCCAGTTCCAGGGGACCTGATGTCCTCTTCTGACCATCTTGAGCCCCTACACAGACACAGTGCCCATTTATACACTCAAATATATATTTATGCACATAAAATTTAATGATCTTCTTTTAAAAATGTCCTTATGTGCTTATACAAACTAACTGTTAAACCATATAAGTAGCTTGGGAAATGAGTGTCAGAAGGACAAACAGGTAAGGGAAAACAGAATTCAAGACAGTCTGTAGAGTATGCTATTACTTGTATAAAGAGGGAGGTATATACATGTTCACTTCTATATGGACATAGAAGTGTCTGAAAACACACGGCAACACTGGATGCCACTGAATACAGGATATTTTGCTACACTTTGTTTTGTACTATAACCATCTGAATAATTAAAAAAAAAAAACTAAAAATACAAAAAAAAAAAAAAAACAAAAACACTCCCTTTTACCTCACCAAGAGCTTTCTCTTGATTGTTTTTCTAATGACAAATAACTGTTCCCAACAGTTCCTTCAGAGTAAAGACAGTAAAATTTGTTGGTTTTTCTGGCACAGTATATTAAACACAGTAAGTGTGGAGAAATTAAGACAACTGTAGAAAGCCTCAAAGGTAGACAGTTAAAGGTAAGATGAACAGTTATAATTTGCTGAAGACCCATCTTAGGACAACTACTTTCTATTTATCTCAAAACCCCAAAAGTACATGCTATTATTCTAATTTTACAAATGAAGAAACTGAGGCAGAGAAAGTAGACACTTTCCCTTGGTCACAAAATTCCCCAAGTGCAGGCATGTGACAAGACTGGCATTGTTAGGATTCAAACTGAGACTTGTGATTTTTCCAAATCAGGTAGATGCTCTTTCACTATACTACCTGTCAAAGGAAGTGTTAAATATTTTAATTATCATGGACCACTGTCAAGTATTACAGAAGTGCAGTCAAGTTCACACTCACACACACAAGCACTTAGGCACATGGGATAAACTGTAACTATCTATTTTCTGATATCCTTTATATTCTTAAGCTCAGATTTGAGCTCTATTAAAAATAAAGAAGCAAACACTGGAAGTAACACAGCAAGATGTTCACATGAATATCTAACAGGTTGAGTTTATATGGCTGTATCTACAACCTGTTTATGGAATAATTAACATTTTACTTTTCAGTGACATAGTATGAACATTGTTACAGGTAAACAATGGTCTCTGCTGTTTTTTTAAAGATGCATACGAGATGATTTTAAAAAAAAACAAAAACCATACTTGGTCTTCTACAAGTACTAACAAACAAAACCAATGAGCCTTATGAGACAAAACTACTTCTCTAAGAAAACTAAAATTTCTCCTAATTTCTGATCTGATAAATGAGTTTCTGAAAGTGGAAAAAGGAATTTTTATGGGTCAGGTTTTTGTTTCTTCAAGCTCTTCTGTGAAATTTTGTTCAAAAGTGGCTAACACTAATTTTAAATTCCAAATGGAAATGTTCATTTAGTGTCCGCTTGGTAAGTTCTATCAAATAATTCATTAGATTGCTAAATGCACAGGTCTACCCAAAACTATAAAAAAGGAGAAAGAAGGAATAGAAGGAGAGCAGATGCTGCTGTAATTTTTACTGACCTCTGGGAAAATTACAATTTATTGCCAGGCTCCAAGTGAACGCTTGAAAATTAATGTAGACAAAAAGTGTTCCACGTTTCATTTGCAATTGCTGAGAATCAATTTGGTTCTTCTTAAAAGACTCCATAAATAAAATTTAAAATATATCAAGATGAAGGAAGGATGTATCAGGACTTTTTTTTTTTTTTTTTAATTCTAACAAGGTAAGAATCATCTATTGACTTGGAGAAAATCTTTTGAAAAAAAATATTTTATCATCATCATTACCATATACAGCTTCTTCAAGTCCTACGGAATTGCACCTTAATTTTCTTGACAATAGCAAACTGTTGAGGTGCTAAAGACTAGCAATGCAACAATGTCACGTTTCAGTCCTTAATCTCACACACACACACACACACACACACAAAATCAAACACAATGGTTCTATTACAAATCAATATTTATTCCTAACCAGAAGCCTTGTATGCATTAATCACGATTCAATCGTACAGTAACCGGTTGTTTTAAAAACTAACTGTGCGTCTTTCAAAGAACCTAAGATTTGGGCTTTGCTTTTCAACTGGGAAATGGGGGCAAAAGATTTTAACAGATGTGATGCAAACTGAGGCCAGGATCAAACCCTCAACTTTTGAGAAAATACGGCGTTTAAATAGGTCATACTGCAACATCCTTTAAAATTTTTAATGAGTGGATGACTTTTTGACAGTCCCCTCTGCCAATATTCTACATAAAGGTGTAAAAAAGGAACACCACAACCTCTGCTGGCTTAAATTGTCATCAACCTCAGACTGGGATTACACAAATAATGGATACTTTCAGTGACTATTTTTAGAGTGAGGATTCTATCAACCCTCCATTAAAGTTTAGACAGAAGCCTGTGAGAAACATGGTAGTGAGTGAGCGAGAGAAGAGAGCCTGATGACTCAAAAAACCTTGGCAAGACTGCCTCCCCCAAGTGATATAAAACAAAAAAACACCTCTGCCAATATTCGTTTCTAAGAAGGGTTTCAGAATGACTGACCTTAAGTGATTATTACCTTATTGAAAAGGGTTAAAACCGAAACTGTCTTTAAACAGCAGCTTCCCTTTTACAAGATCCCGACAGTTTCTGTAAAAAGTTACTACAAATGTTTTCTTAGCACCCCTTTCCTTCCCAAAAGAATGTATTTCCATGACTACCGAGTTGTTTTTCTTCTCCATCTTCAAAACCGAGGGGTGAGGGAAATAGTTTAAAAATAAAATAAAATAAAATAAAAATTCTCCCTTAAAACAGGCAAGGGCAGAAAAACAGCATTTTCTCCAACCGCGTGGGAGCAGGGGAGAGGGGCAAGAATAAAATACAGCACCAGAGAAAACCTTGGGTTTCGAACTTTATTGCACAAAGAGCGGAGAGGGAAGAAAGCAGGTCGGACGTTGCGGCTCGTCCGCTCGCCGAGCGGGCACCGCCGCGAAGGCGGCAGCAGCACCTTCACCTCCTCTGCCCTCAACTGTCGCCTTCTTCTTCTTCCTCCTCCTCCTCCTCCACCCCCCACGGTATAAA